TGGTTCGTTCCCTTGCTTATTACTATCACCTGCTTTGAAAGTTCACATCTAATGACACTGTTCTGATATATCTAGACATGGAAGTTATTTGTCCGAGCTGGATTAGTATGCACCGGTAAGCTAGGAACTCCGTACAAGCTGGTCAGTCGAAAGCATCAGATCCTGTCCAACGTGCGATGATTGAAGGACAAAAGTCTGGTGCTCACCGGAAGAAGTTGCTCGACTGGTACCGATTTCTTTTTCGTGTCAACCTCGTTGGGCATGTGCGTCAAGTACTGCTCGGCGTACTCCATGGTGTAGAGCCCACAGTCGAAGTCGTTGTCTTGCTCCGGCACCTGGACAGAACATCGAAGAAGGAGCCTTGGAGTGTGGTGCATATAAACTCGAAACGTGGCAAGAGTCTCAAAGTGAAATTCAAGCTTGCCCAAATGTTCCCTTCTTTTTGCTTCGTTGGTAAAAGTTGAAAGAAGGAACCGAACCGGAAGAGATTGGGACCACCCTCTTGGCCTTTTCTGTTGACGCGCGAGCGAGTTGTTCAATACCATCATGCATGGGCCAGATGGCGACACACTCCTTTTGAGTATTTTGCCTTTCCTTCAGCTTAACATCTCAGAAATTTGAATTGGTCACACCGTTCTTGATCAGCGACCGGCGCATGAACCGTCTTTTAAACTGAAAAATGGACATTCAATCGAGTGCCGTACTCTGGTTTTGGATCCATACTTCAGCTAAGAAAAATCCTTACAGGCAGAACGCAACGTAATACACAGGGGCAATGTTCAGAAACGGCGCTTGCCTTGATTTCGATGTTGGGCATGCCAGCCTTGGCAAACGGCTTGAGAGGCGCCGTACGCTTTGCAGGGCGAAGGACCGTCGGGTTCTTGAACAGGTACAGCTCAGACAAGTACCTGAGCACGAGGTAAAAAGAGAGCTGTATGCTGGCTTAGAGACGACAGGTGCTGTTTGAAAGAAGCACGTGGCTCAGTGAGTACCAAACCAGTTGAAGAGGCAAGCGCTGGTTAACTCTCTAGCAGGAAACGGAGGATCGATGCGACCCTGTTTGACGGTTAGGAATGAACAGCTTCGACAGAACCTTCTAACAAGCACCCTTGTCGAAATTGCGTGGAAAACCCGTTGGACCAGCCTACCGAACGTTATAAGCAATAGCATTGAGGCTTGGAATGTTTTGGCGGTCGCGGCGTTCCTGGGGTGCGGAAAATGCTGGATGGAGGGGTGTAAGTACGAGGGGTGCGGCCATGGCACGTACTTCGCAGGTTACGCGCGTCCGGCGCCGCAGAAAGTCCTTGGCGGGGGACGGGCGATCCTGGCACAGGACTCTCGGAACCGGACGCACCAAGAGCACGTACGGCACGGAACCGCTGTAGAGAAGGGTTTAGAGAGCGAGGAGCAGTCCGGGGTGAAGGGGGTGTCCTGCATCGCCAAGATGCTGCCGTACTTTAACGTCGTAAAAGGGTTTCCCATAGCGGTGGGGCACGCCTTTCTGCTCGGAGTGGTGTCCGCCTTTCTGGATACCGTTTTGGCGGACTACAAAACGGAGGGGGAGCGTCCGAACCACGTGGTTACGAAGGCAAACCGGCGGAAAATGAGCGCGCGGCACGGGAGGCTCGTTTGGACGCACGAGCACGGGCGGCCGGCAAAGGACGTGGTCAAGTACCGGGCGTCCATGACCATGGAGGAGTTGCTCGTGTTCGTGGAGACCGCGTCCCTGTACGTGTTCCTGGGCTGCCTGCTGAAGGAGCTGGAGACCGCCTGGTTTCACCTGCGCCGGGCGGTGATGCACTACTGCCGCATCTCCGACGGGGGGATGGACGAGGCGCGCAGGGAGCGCGCAAAAGCTGACGTGGCCAAGTACGCGAGCATCGTGGAAGAGGTGAGATTTATGTTCCTGTTTCTCTTCATTCGCAGGTCCTCTCTCGTCAACCGAAAGTGACGTCAGCTTCAAGACCGAAGAATGACGTCAGCTTGAGAAAGATTGCTTGAAGAGATGGCGCAAAAGGTATTTTGGTTCAAGAATTCGACAGTTGTTCAATATTGACTTTCTCCTGAACGTGCACAGGTCCAACGGTTCGTGATTGCAGCTTTGTTGATGATCGGGTTGACGCGTTTTGCTGTTCACAAGGGGTCAATTGCTTTCAATATCGTCACTCCGGTAGATCCTGTTTGGCGGTCCTTCTTCTCCGGCGGCCCTTTCCGCTCCGGCCCTATTCCGCTCACAAAGTTTTCCGTTCCCGCGCGGCCCTTTCCGCTCCAGCCCTTTCCGCTCCGCCCATTTGCGCTCCTTTCAAGACCCAATATCCTTTCTTTCGATCGGATACAAGGTTCTGGGTTCTCTTGGTTCAGAACTTTCACCCGACGTCTTCAAAATCTTTTTCCTTCAGTTCAATGCAGCCAAGCTTGTCTGATTGATCAGTGCATCAATGCGTCCACAGTCGAAGCTCCTTCGTAGGCGGGAATGACTATCCCCTAACCCATATTCTACTCGCGTTTCTATTGTCCGTGGAAGCCGGTTCGGATCTCCTGGACAATAACCTCGCGCACTTTCTATCTTCGCACCGAACTTCTGAACTTGTTTCCGTGATGGCCTGCCCCACATCAGGGCACAAGTTCTCCCTACTAATCCTTCCGAACCATCGTTTAACCCGTTTTCTTTCCAAAGTGGACCACGGAAATACCGTCCAACCGGCGGCGCTTCCAAACCGAGCTTTCAATAGTCCGTTTAGCGACTTGTATACACTGAAATAACGGTTTATCAGGACTCCTCCTAACCATTCTCTGTACCCAGCTCTGGACGACAAACTCTTTGTGTCCAGTTGTAAACCAGCCTGCCTCCCAAACCAGCAGCACTCCCTACGGACGTTCTATGCAGCGCCAGTTTCGCGCTCTATTTAGCTCTATACAAGTACACGATCTTCCAACCCAAATCTATCACCCCCACTTTTAAACCCTATTCTTTTTGAGTTAACCCACGGGTCAACCGCCACTGCTTACTTTGCCTACGCAAAAGCCTAAGCGCGTCTCATTTCTGAAAGTATCTCCAATCAAAACAAGGTTCCCGTCTGAATCGTACATGCGATTGGTGAAACCAGGCCGCGAATAAGCTGGTGTAGGCGACCCTCCGACTAAAACGTGAATGTCACCGCCGTCGACTGGCCAGAAATGGGGGCGCACTCATAGCAGGTTTTTATCTTGTACGTTCAGTCTTCTTTTAGCGACCAGAAGTAAAACGGCCTTACAATCATTGTGCAGGTCATCGGCCCCCAAATGTGCACCATGAATCTGCACCAGGCTGTCCGGCACGCTTACGAGCAGGAGACCGCCACCGGAAGCACCGCCAAGTCCATGGAGTGGTTCGTCGAGCAGCACGTGGGCGAGCTGAAGAAGCGAGTGGCGGGCATGACCCGAGAGCCACACAAGGTGGTCGGGAACGACGTGCTGTTGGAGAAGGCGCTGACTGACCGGGTGACGGAGAAGCCGCACTTCCGAGCGCTGGTCGGGCTTGACGAGGAGAGGGAGCCGGAGGCTTTCAAGGGGCCGACGGACGTGCCCGAGGAGGGCGTCCAGCTGCTCCACGTGGGGCAGCCACTCGGGGCGTCGCAGCTGAGCCCCGACGAGCTCGCGTCTCTGCAAAATCACGCCGAAACGGTCGGTTTCACAACCGACGTGCAGCGTTGGGAGATCCACGAGTTCCGGGCTGCGCGAGTCGGGGACCAGGCCTACCAGTCGAGGGCGCGCTACAGGACGGCCGCTCGGCATTCGTTCAATGTGTCCATCAGCTGGAGCTCCAGTCAGACGAGGAAGAGAACGGAACACTTTGCCACCCTGGAGCGTTTCCTCAGAGTTCAAGATAGCGCTAGCGCCGGAGTGTTGCGGATAGCCACGGGGACAGTTTACAAGCAAGCGCGAGCGGAGAAAGGTCTGTCCGTGCTTGATGCCGCCCAGCCATTGAAGGTGGGGGAAGTCATCCCCCTAGAAAGCATCGAGTCGAAGGTCGTGTTTGCTCCGCACGACGAGCAGCAAGGCAAGATGTACGTACTTCCGTGTTTCTCAAGGGATCTGTAGGATTATGTGCGCTCGTGCCAGTCACCAAGGCTAGAGAATGGTGTTGCATAACTGACTACAGACAGACTTGTGCGCCGTCTTGACAACACCGTCCGGCCAATCAAATTTCGAGCAAGATTCGTCAATCGAGGGCTGGCCGTTAATCGAAGATGAACTGTTTCTGCAATGAACCTCTGCATTCATCACTTTTTCATACCATTCACTGAGCCGTATCGATGAATGCATTGCATCATCAGTCAACTTAGGAACACAATGTATATGCAATCAAACATGGGCCATGAATCTGAGGTATACATTCCATGATGCCGTCGCGGATTGCAAGTGTGTGGATGGCCTACATGCCGTCGGGCATCAATGATTGATGTGGAGCTCTTCTTATATGCATGAGTGCAGCCGCGCCGTCACTGCTACGGTAAGGCGGCGCCGGCCTTATACATGATCGATTGTCGTTCAACAGATCATTAGCTTTGATGAGGTCAAATAGGATTTCTCAGATGTCTATACCTATACGGCCTGTTCAGAAAATGAAATCCACTGCCAACGTATACGGTATGGTGCCGCCGTGCGCTGCGGTGGGGCGGCAACTGCTTGAACGCGCCCGCGGCTGGCCGCTCGGCCGCGCCACCGTCCCTGTATGCTTGCACCACAGCGGAACGCGTCAGACGCGCGCTTAGCAGCTAGCACGGCGCGCCATGCGCAGGCGCTGCCAGAAAGTCATCGGAGGCTCTTCGTGGGGTCTGTGAGTGGTTTAGACTCTTCAGGCAAATGCCATGACAAACCGGACACAACTCGGACAGGTTTCGGACAACCTTCGGACCGTCCAGGGTTGTCCGCTTTCAGTCTCGTGACTGCAGACAAGCGCCGGACATGGGATAGGGGTTTCGGACACAGCCCGGACTCCGTTCGGACAAAAGGCTTTCTCACAGTGAAAAGAGATCAGATCTGGACCAGCTCGCTGAATCGGAACGGTAACGTGTTTGCACTAAGGCACGTAAAGATCCATGTGAACTAAAGGGCCTAGCAGCGTGCTTCTGGACGGGGACGCTCAATTGAACTCTGCGCCAGTACGTCTCGGCAGCAACCAGGGCCTCGATGGCAAAGCCTTGCAACCAGAGGAAAAAACACTCACATAACTCACAACAGCTGAAGACGTCGTGGGCATTTTGATGATCCTCCTTTTTGGACGAGTTGAAAGACCGTGAAAAGAATGGGTCAGCTTCAAGAAGGAACGTCTAGGTTGGTAACAGTTTTAATTACCACCTCGAGTAGCTCGAACTTGACGCTCACTTCCTGGACTCGTGGGCTGTGGAGCAGAAGGAATTCATTATCTCCAAGTCGAGAGCCTCGAAACTATGATCGAGCAAGTCGCCGTGCGAGGTAAGGAGTCTTTGGAATCCAATCTTGAAAAACGCTTCCTTGATTTGAGCTGGAAAGTCAGGTCCGTTGGTTGGGTCGCCACGAGTCCCAAAGTCAGAAGACAGAGAGCAGATCGGCAATCATGATGGCTTCAGCACAGCGGTCATTCGAGGCGCCGTGAGGCCCTGCTTAATGATCTAGCCGGCAGGATCCTCAGTCCTCGCTTCACATCAGCGCCGTAAGATGCGAAATTCGTCAAAGCTGTCGGCCCTGGAAGGAACAAAGAAGTTGAGTGAATTCTTAGTCTTCACATCCTTTCCGGTGCACGGATCTCGTCGGGGCAGAGAGTCGACGCGGCACACTTACAACACCTGGTCTGAACTTCCATAACAACCAGAGACGGATTGGCCGGCCCCGACAAACGGTTATTACGAAAGCGCCGTAGCAGATACCTTGTGATCTCTACGAGATCTTGACGATCGATAAAGAAAAGCAACTTTCGTGCAACTTGAGACATGACCAACCCGACTAACACGAAGTTAAGAAAGGTAGTGCGCCATTCCTCTCGTCGTCATTCCACAGTACTCGCTCTCTGAGCAGCACTCGTTATGAGGCCATCCCGTAGGTGCTGAGGCATCATCGACAACAGGTTCAATTCGGGACGTTAATGGCGGGATGAGTCCTTACTTTTGGCATGAGGAAAAAGCGCGGGTCCACAGTGCTTCTGCGGAGTAAGTTCGTTTGGACCAGCATACGGACCTCAATTTTCAAGCATTTGTTCGCTTTGGCCTGGCACATGAAATCGTGAATGCAGAACCTCGTCTAGGAATACTCGTTTGAAAATCTTGCTTGATTAAGGCATACAAGATAGGTTCATCGAGGGCAGATTGTACGTACATCTAATTTAACGCTACTCCCACGTCGTCTGCTCTGTCAGTAGCCTCTGCCTCCCGGATAAAGAATTGTCGATGCTGCCTTCTGCAATGATAAGTTCGACCGTCGAATTTCGCTGAGGTTGAAGCATTTTCCTACCTTTTAGCTAGATAGTCTTTAGAGCTCCTGGCTTGAAATGAATCACAAATTAGTAACACCACTTTTTGGCATCTTCCTGGAGAAACATGAGATATGAGCCACGAGCCACGAGCTTTGGCCCACTTCAGCAAGAATCCTAGCCACCGTCCGGAGTTCAATGAACGTGCAACTAACCGTTCTGAGAAGCCGCAGTGAATCATTCGATCGGGACCGGAACGAATGACAACCGCTGACGTAGGGGTGATGAGTCGTTTCCAAGTGCCAACATTGCAGTATTTGGACGCGGTGGCAGCCAGATTATATAACACGGCGCGGTCGACCCGCGGATACAGGAATCCCCGCACCTGGGCTTCATGAAATCAGAGTTGTCCCCTCACGTTGGTTTCTCCACTAAAGTTGGCAGGAAAGGACGAGAAAGATTGTATTTCGTATCATGAACGGAATTCAGCCGGAAGCCCAGATTGCCGATGGCACGTGCGCCCCTGCTGGAAGGGAAGGCGGGATATACACACCTCTCGGCCAAGAACCGCTGGCCTTCGACGATCCAACAGAACGATGATTGTCAGATCGGCAGGCCCACAGAAACGGCAAGGCCAGAAAGGCCGATGTTGTGCAAAATTGCTTTCTTGGCACTGGCATGCGCGGAATCTGTGTTACCAAAATTGCCCAGCAGGATCCCGCGCTTGGTCTTGGGTACGCGCCGACAGTACTGCTCAAACGTCAAACGAAATGAAATCAGCAAGTTTCTTCTGCGCACCAGCCAAAGGATGACTTCGAGAAAGGTCGACCTTGCTTCCAGCTCCGCTTGGCATGAAGTAAGACGTTGTTGCTGCCGTGGGTGGAGCTTTCTACTACATGCCCCGCTTTCGAGCTCAGCACTTTCATTTGCCCTGCCGTTAGCGTTAGCGCGTCGACCGGCCGCGCAAGGCCCATTCCGTGCCGCACATGAAAAAACAAATCAGGAGATCAGGTCTAGAAAGGAGGTGCAAGTATATATCACATTCTCTTGCTTGGAAGCTGCGAAACGTTCTTTTCATATCGATGAGCAGCTCGCAGAAACGTTGACTTGTTCTTGGACAAACAGGGCAACAAAAGACCTTAGCGGCTTTTAGCCAAGTGTCAACTTTCACACAGGCGCAATCAGAGTCAACTGAGGTCGCCATTGGATAAAGCCCTATCAAACAACAGCAAAACGCGAGTAAAAGCAGAGCGCGACGTATGTTCGTTCGGAAGCTTCCTTGGGTCGTCTGAGAGACCTGTTGATAAGAAGACGCCGCCGTCTCGAAAGAGGAAGCTGTGAGCCCAAGCCAATGCGTCACTTTCCGTTGAGAATAAAAGTCCAAACTTGTCGCCGTTCTCGATGACGACGCACTGAAACAGTCACGACACGAATTTTTGAACAAAATGGCGTCATGACAAGAGGACCTGAGGCTATTGTTGGGTCTCAAGTGCTTGCCCCATTACCTCGACTGCCCATCATAGCCTTGGGATCAAAGTCTCATGAGATTTGAGAAGGTGCAGGAGTAGAGGAACTGAAGAAACCGTCATCGGGCTTCGTTTGATTGCATACCAGAGCGCGTATAAAGCACACAAAGACAAAACATCTCTGCCACTGTTTTTGAACGAGGTTGAAGAAAGCAGATGCTAGATGAGTCGGAGCGGCCTGAAACTGTTGACAGGCGGGAAACGTCTGCTAATCGCTTACGAAGCGGGTGTGCGGTGGCGCGGCACCCGAAATACCGTGACGGGTCAGCCTGATGGCACCATATGTGAATGAAAACTGGCCTTTCAACGTTAGATGACAATCTGCAGCCCGTTCGAGGAGCTGAAAGCCAAGGCCTCGACAAATTGAAGAGATCCCAGAATGCAATATTGATATTTCTGATGCAGAGATGTCGCTACGCGACTTTTACGGCATGTGTTAGCTCAGCACCGATCTTGCAAGTGGTCGAGGCTTCACATCCAAACACACGGAAAGCCCGGACACCGCCTAGACGCTGTGTACCCGCTCTCTTACTACGTAGCTTACACGACAGGGCTGCGTGGCACTGGGATAGAAAGCTTCGCCCCACCAAGCACCAACGTCCGTTTAGCAATTGTACATAAGTCTATATAAGTTACCAGTGATACAAACAGACTGCGTGAAGGAGGACAGTAAAGCGCAAACCGTTGCAGCGGCCACATGGTTTTCAAGCAACGCACTCATATGCATAAAGGCCGTACCGGCCGACATCACTTTAGCCGGCGAAACGAACGACTTCAGCAAGCTGACCACATGCTTCTAACGTCGCCACAAAGATTGTGGACGACCCCAGCAGGACACTGCATCATAGCCGTCTCCAACCAGCCTGCCCCACTCGAAAGCAGATTTGGCAGCGATACTGTAGCGCACCTAGGTACTGGAGAAAAGGATTTCACCTCCCATTCGATGCCGTTCTCCGCACGGCCAGTTTGACGGGCCAGACGGTGGCAAGCAGTGCCGCGAGACTTATGATGATCTGCCTGGCAAACGCTCGCTTGCAGTGACTCATTCAACGGAGTAAAAGGTAGCGGTGTCTACAAGGTCACAAGCTTAGATTGTCTGGATCACACTTTGCCAATCGAGCGCGATT